TGTATCAATAGTTTCTTTCCATTGCTAACGTGTATTATATTTTTCCAAAGAAGATGTACAGATGACCATACAGGCATTTTGAAAAGATGCTCAACATCATTAATCATCAGAGAAATGCAAATCAAAACCACAATGAGACATCACCTCACTCCTGTCAGAAAGGCTATCATCCAAAAAGACCACAAATAACAAATGATGAGTATATAGAGAAAAGGGAACCCTTGTACACTGTTGATGAGAATGCAAATTGGTGCAGCCACAGTATGGAAGTCCCTCAAAACAGTCAAAATAGAACTACCATATGATCCAGCAATTCTACTCTTGGGTATACAGCCAAAGAAAATGAAAGCACTAATTCAAAAAGACACATGCACCCCAATGTTCACAGCAGCATTATTTTCAATAGCCAAGATTATAAAAGCAACCATCAATAGGTGAACGGATAAAGAATACGTGTATTTATACATATATATACACAATGGTGTACTACTCAGCCATCAAAAAATAAAATTTTGCCACTTGCAACAACATGGATGGACTTGGAGAGTATTTTGCTCAGTGAAGTAAGTCAAAGACAAATACTGTATGTTCCACTTATGTGGAATCTAAAAAATAAAACAAACTAATGAATGTAACAGAAAAGAAACATACTCACAGAGAGCAAACTAGTGGTTACCAGTGGGGAGAGGGAAGGGGGAAGGGCACGATAGGGGAAGGAGATTAAGAGGTATAAACTACTATGTATAAAATAAGCTACAAGGATATTGTACAGCACATAGACTATAGTCAATGTTTTATAAGTATAAACAGGGAGTATTCTTTAAAAATTGTGAATCACTATATTGTATGTCTGAAACATATAATATTGTAAATAAACTATACCTCATTAAAATAAATAAGTAAATAAATAGAAAGACGGGGGAAAAACCAATATAATTGACTTCTGTATATTGGCCTTATACTCTGCCACCTTGGGAAACTCATTTATTACTACTAGTAACTTTTCAGTAGATTAATTAGGATTTCCTACATGATTATGTCATCTACAAATTAAGATGGTATTATTTCTGTATTTTTAATCTGAATGTCATTCATTCATTCATTTACTCATTCATTCATTTTTTATTTCATGGGCTAGAACATCCAGGACCATCTGAATAGAAGTGGTAATTGTATACATCTTTGCCTTGTTCCTGATCTTAGTGGAGAAGCATTTCAATCTTTCACTTTAAGTATGATGCTAGTTGTAAGTTTTTCATAGATGTTCTTTATTAGGTTGAGAAAGTTCTCTTTTATTTCTTATTTGCTGAGAATTTTGGCCAAGTATGGATGTCTGATTGTTCTATTGGATTTTGTCAATTTATTTATTTGCATCTATTGAGATGGTCACATAGAGGAATTAGGTCCTTAAATACCAATGATTGTTCTCCTCACCCCCACTCCCAATCACCCTTAGAATTCAGTTCTTGGGCCTCCTCTCCTACATTCTACAAACTGAGGGACATATATATTACAATGGCTTTAACTAACATCTGTGTGTAAGTAACTTCTAAGCATATATGTTTCATCACAAATTCTCAACTAAAATTGAGAACCAATATTCTCAGCTTCTGAATGTACTCTGTCTACCAGGTCATCCTCTACATGTATCTGTAAAGATAAATACAGGTAAGATAAAGAAGCCAATGCCTATTCTCTTCAATTAACCGACACTGAATTGTAATGGGATCCTCAACTTGAATTTATACCTTTTGTACACTGATTGAGATCTTTTAAAGGTAAAATCAGGAAAAAATCTGAAATCTGAGAACTTCCAAAAAAAAAAACCTAAAACTAAAACCAAAACACAATGCTGCAGGATTTCCTAATCTCGGTACTATCGACACTTTGTGCCAGACAATTTATCGTGGGGGCTGCCCCATGCATTGTAGATACTTGGCAGCATCCCTGGCATCAAACCTACTAAATGCCAGTAGCACCTCCCACCCACCCCTCACTTATGACAGCCAGGAATGTCTCCAGATGTTATCAAACATACCCTAGAAGGGGGCAAAATCATCCCCAGTTTGAGAACTACTGATACAGTACTTGCAATAGATCAATGCTCACACAGAGATCAAGTCGAAGAGCCATTTAAAAAATCTGTTTGAAGGCACTGGGGAGCCTCTAAGCAGCTAGGATATGATGGGTTTCCACTGCCTTCAAATAAATAAGCTGGGGGATGGTGGTGGTGGATTTAATAATCTATAGCAACTAATGATAGCTGTGTTGTGCTTTCTTTCCCTTCCTGAAAAGAAATTGTCATTGCATACTGGATGTTTAAGGGTAGACACTTTTTTTCATTTATAGGTTATCTGACACCACAAAGTTGGTTTAAGACATTATATAGAAAATGGCACATTCCCAGAGTTGAGTGCAGTCATTGCATGGAAACTTGAGCCCAATCTCTTGCAAATGGGTGTCTTCCAAAATGTCCTTCCCTTCTTCCAATTTTTGGCTACACACTTGGCCATACCAAATGGAGAGATTTACAAGTATCTCTTTCAGCTTAGTGAGCATATGTGATGGAGGCCTGATAGGTAAGTAGATGAGTCACATGGTAACTTAAAAGTTGGATAAAGCCCCTTCTTTTTAGTTCCCTCCTCCTGGGTACAATGTGGATATAATAGCTGGGGCTGATGCAGTCATTTTGGACCATGAAGTGACTTTGAGGACAAAAACTACACGTGATAAAATGGGAGGATGTGAATCTGGGTCTCTGACTACTTTGGGGAGCATCACCCTCACACTAGCCCTGGAAAACATGCCCCAGTAACTTTACATGAGGGAAATAAATTTCCATCTTATTTCAGCTTGTTATTTTTAGGTTTGTCACTTACAGCTAAACCGACTCTAAACTAACTAAAAGTTCAGGACAGTCGTTCTCAAAGTACAGAAGTGTGGTCTGATTTTCTTTAGGGAGCTCGTGAGTAGATGAACCACAAATCAATCTACTTGAAGCAAAATGTGTCAAAGTTCAAAAGTGATATAAATGGGACACAGGAAGATTCTCAGTACTGAGACAGAATGAGTTGGGGGTCAAGCGAGAAGTCAAGTTCCTAGCGAGGACAGCATAGTGATATGGGCAGCACTGACTCACACATTAAACAACCCTCTACTGTACAAATACCGTGTGTCAGCGGCTGCACAGAGCATTAAGGATAGAGAAGTAAGCAAGACAGAAGAGACTCCATCCTTCAGAGGGGCTAACATTTAAAGCACAATCAATACCTTCTTTTTCCTCTTATGAAATGTGAGCTCTTTACCTGAGTTGGTATGGAAGAAAGAACAGTTAAAATTGTTAACAATTAAAGAGTGAACTAAATTAACTAAGATTTGTTCTCCTCCTCCCACATGGGGGTGGGAAAGAAAGAGAAAATGTTTGATTTAATGCTTTTAAAGTAACCAAGTAGGACATAAAATATATTCTAAAAATTGCACTTCCATCAGTCTGAAGTTGAGGAAAAGAAGGAATAGAAAAAATACATTTGAGACAAGGGACAGAGATACAGACACACTGCAAAATCAACCCACTGCAAAGTGGGAATGGTAGGGTTACAGGGTGGTGGGGTGACATAACAGAACAAAAAAATCTTAATTCTAATTAAGGTACCTAACAGTTTTCTTTGACTCAGTTACCTCTCTTAAAGCCCATTTATATCTTGCATCTGCGTAAGTATTTTATAAATAGTAAAGCACTATATAAATGCAGAGCTTTCATATTAGCAAATACCAAGTCTTCACTGAATTCCAGTTATCACAGAAAATTCTTTTATCATACAGTTTTTGAGGGTTCTCCCCACCTACCCCCCAAAGTAGTTCCTTCAAGTTTAACTCTTTAGTCATCATTCTCACATTTTATTCACTTAAACAGAACATTTGACTTGTAGTTGTGGAGAAATTATATAATCTATCATATGCCTACTCTATCTTTTTAATATTTAAAAGTCAATAAACATTTTGTTGAAATTTCTTTCATTCATAAACTTATCAATAGCTTTAACCTACGTATGATAAGGTTTCATGTAAATACCAATACAAAACATCATGTGCTTCATACAGCTGTCAGCATAAGATCAACAGATCCTGAAAGTCCTGGGGTTTCAAAATTAGTGTTACAAGTCCCTACTTCAATCACTACTTCATTTCTGAAAGTTAGAGGAGAAAAACTAACTTCAGTGTTACAACTCATATACCAATAGCATTCACTACTTTTGTTAAAACAAGTCATCTGTTAGGAAGGTTTCAATTATGAGCACACAACAGACACTAAATTATTTGCTGATAGTGATATCCACTGACTATGAATCCCATGGTAGCTTCCCCAGGCTTCTGGGCCATTTCCCTCTACTGATGCCAATAAATATGCAATAGTATTCATTTTAATATTTAAATATTAATATTTGGGCTTAATCCAGAAAACATGAATAATACAAAACAAACAAGAAAATATCTTACAATGCATTCCAGTGAAATGTATTTTATATGTTGGAGATTTTCTTAACATCAACTTTCTGGAACCTAGCATGGTACCTTCTCTTCCTAGATATGATGTTTATGCTCTCACTTCATTCAGGTCTTCCCTGACTGCCCTATATTAAAATAACCACACCTCCCCACCCCCTTACATTGACCACCAGTACCTTCTGACCCCCTTGCTTCATTTATCTGTATTGTACTTATCACCACCTGTTTAAGTGTATATTGGCTTCCCTGTACTCTCCTCCCCTACTTACGCCCCCTACAGAATAAGCTTCATGAGGATAGGGATGCTCGGGCTGTTTTTTCAGTGCCTTGAACAGTTCCTAGCACATAATACACAACCAAAAACACAGGATTGTTAAATGGGCTTTGAGATCTTAAGTAAAATTCCCTTAAGTTATAAGTGAGAAAAATAATTCCACAAATAGGTTTTAAAAAGGGCCCTAAACAGAGAATATATATATATATATATATGTAAAACATATATATATGTCCTGACTGCAATGATAAGTAGTTAAGGACACAGACTTCACACTTTGACAAAGCTAGATTCTATCCACTTATTAGTAGCGACACTGTGGGCAAACGAACCTCTCCATGTCTCAATTCACCCAACATGAAATAGGAATAATAATGGCACCAACTTAACACTGTTATTAAAAGTCATTAAATATGACAATGTGTGTAAAATACTACAGTACATAGCAACAAATAAATGCTTAATAAAAGGGAGCTAACATTATGCTCATCATCACCATCACCATCTTACTCAGGTTCCATAGCCTAGTTACTAATATTTCCCAAATAATATAAGAAACTATCTAGTTTCTCAGTCTACACAGCGAAGCAGCAGCAAATTAGAGAGAACAACTGCCAGAAGAGAGAGCAGCAAAAAAATGGGAAGAAAATGAAAACTATTAAAAAAAAAAAAACCAGATTCTGGAGGTACTGCATTACAGCACAATAATAATGTTCATAGAGGCGCTTAGCCACTAAGAAAAAGATTACATTCTATTACCTTTAATACACTCTTTTACGATAGAAAGAAAATATAATCCGAAAATTAGGAAGATTTACTTCAAAATGGTTTACACAAAATTTTGGTGTAAAAGATAAATTTTGAAATGTATCTTCTAGAGAAAAGGAGTAAAGTAAATGAGGTGTTATTATATAGAAGACCTGGATATCTCTGCTGTAAATACCGTCACTGTAATTTACACCAATTTTCCCATCTAAAGTTTTTTTGACATCCTATTAAATGTCAAATTCTCTCAATATGGGATCACTCTTCTCTCATAATCTGTAACGTCATATTATCAAGTGTGGACTTCAGCGAAGTGGTGAGTAGTTCCATTTGACTGTTTCAGTGACATTGCTACAATCCTGTAACAAATCTGCATTTATCAATCCTATCTCCTTAAGCTACAGAATAACCAGGGTTTTCTGAGATAAGGAAGAAAATTAAATTTTAAAATCAAAACCACATTTCAAAATTTCTTAAAAGAAATTTTTTTTGTTCAGTTCCTCTGTAAAAACATTGGTCACCATTTAACATACAGTGGCAACAAAATGCACCCAATTTACATGCATCAACAAGTCTGTAAATCATAATACATAGACAATATGAATTTTAAACGAACAGTACTGACACAGCTCATGTTGCATTTAACCATAGCTATAGTGCTCCTAATATAGAAATAGCTAATAGGAGAAATAAGAATTCCAGTTTCAATCTGCAATAAGGTTCTTCGTGACAAGGAATATGAAACAATGATTACATGAAGTCATTATCTTAAAGGGAACCATTTTTCAGAAGTCACTTTGTGCAAAGCACCATACTAGTGTAGAATAAGATCTTAAAAAAATGCATACCTTAGATTAAGGACAAAAGGGCTCCATTTTTTTTAAAACTAATTAACTGAATATTGTAAGTTTTTATCATGTCCATAAATTAAAATGCTTTTCAATATAAAGGTTATATACTCCACATGTTTACACCTTACATAAGTCTACAGATGCCCAGCTAAACTAAAAGATTCCGTAGGACTGTGTTATTTTCAAGAGCAAAGAAAAAGAAAGCAATAATCAAAAGCCCTTTCTAAACTCACAGGCAAGTTTTCTGAATATGGGATTTAATTAATAAAAAGAAAATGTAAGCACCACAATAAAATACGTTCTTAGAAAACAGAAAGAATGGCAATACAAGTTAGGGACAAAAGCACTTAAACATTTCCAAAAAAAATTTTTTTTTAAATAACCACTCTAATCCTATCATCTGAAATAATAAAAAAATTTTGATGTGTCTGTCCTATTATGTAGAAGATATAAACCACAATGCAATTTAAGATGTCAAGTTTTATCATTCTAATTTGATCAGAGATGTCGTATTATTTGTATATAATAAGAATGTTATATATTTATTTTTATATTGTATGATTTATTTTTCCCTCAAAAATCTATGATTAAAGAATAGCATTAAATTATTTTGAAGTACACAGAAGAGAATTCAGGACAAACTGCTGTGAGAAAAAAATAGCTCCTCTGAAAATAAGAGCTCAAAGTAAGTATGTGCAAATAAAACTTTAAAATAAAGTAGCTGTAAATACAGCCATTTTATAAGTTTCCCTTCTTTTACATCGATTTAGCAAAATACATAATTTCAGTGGCCCAAATAGTAATTTTAATTTGTTTTTCTCCTCCATGATGTATTTAATTACTCTTACAATTAAGAGTAATTTTTTAGCACGTGTAACAGATCACATGCTAACAAACTTTAAGGGTTCACAGAATTAAAATTTATGATTCACATCTATACTTAAGTCAGATATATAAGATTAAAAATAAGTAACTTCAATCTAGAATATGATTTAAACACAACAAAAACACAAAAGGACCAAAAAGTGAGAAAGGGTTTCTCTTCATGTAACTTTTGACTACTAGGCTATATATAGCAAAAAGCAAAATATAAAATATTTATTTTTCACCTCAAAAGAAATTATTCAGAAATTAAATTCGCCAAACAACATATAACAACATCAGGATTATGAGTACTCAAACTCATTCAATTCAGATGAGAAGACATTTTTAGGGGAAAAAAATAAATCCTTCCCAAACAATATAGTTTGTATCTGATCAACCTTACAAACACCACCTCAACTTCACCACTTATACTATAAACCTTCTTAACAGTTACCATTTTCTACTTCTGTGAAAAAAATTCGTTAGCCTCTTAATTATCCAAACGTCATGTCAAACTACTTAGTTCACCTTAATTCTACAATCCCCATTAAAAATTCCCTAAAATAGTCATTTTCTTTCCCTTAAGAGTCAGAAACCACTGAGTAATTATTCAAGTTTGAGAAATTAAAAGTAAAAAAAAAACTCAAAATAATATACTTGTTAACAACATAGTTTTATGTAATAGGGAGACCAAAAAATCATTCATTCTGATTAATATCTGGCTCTTGAGACAGTAAGGTCAGAAAATTAAAGTGAGTGATAGCCACTTAAAATACTTAACGTCTCTGTCCATTTTGAATAGATGTAAAAACTTTTTTAAAAATGACTAAAATTATATGATTGTAAATGTTTACTGTGAAACAGTACAAAATTGATGTTGCCAAAAAAAGAGTTAAAAAAAATCTTTAACTGATATTAAACATCCTAAGTAATTTGGAAAAAATCTTAAGGTTGAATCGCAACTACAGGGAACATCAACAACAACAGGAAAGGCTTCCATGCACGTACACGTGGTGAGCAACAAACAGCCAAACCCCAAGTCAGCACAGTACATCAATGACTTCTACTTAAATGGTATTTTGGTATAGAAAGAAAGAAAAATAAAAGGTAAAATGTTGACTGCCATTGATGAAAAAGCATTTCAACAATTTACACAAAAGTTTTTTAAAAAGATCCTAAGAAAACCAAGCCACAATAAGTTAGTGTTTTCCAGAATACATGCTGAATTATTTGATCCCGTATCTATTACACTGTTACTGTCTTAATTCCTAAATGTTGTGACAGCATATTTAATAATTGAGGTACATTAGTTTACATTTTTATAGGTATTCTAAGAGAGTTGATTTTTCTTTTCCAGTTTTTCATCTTCTTCACTTCCTCCAAAGAAAATCAAAGGGAACATTCCTAGAATGCAGCCAATAGTCACCCCAACAGCTTTGCCCTACGGAAACAAAAGCAAACATGTTTTGAAAGTTATTTCATCCCTGTAAGACGAGTTCTTGCTCAAGTATGTATGATAAAAATGACTAGGTATTGTAAAATTCAACTGTGACTATATTTCTTTTGATTATAATAACTTAAATATAAAAATAATCTACAAAAAGTTTCTAAAACCAATAACATGTAAAGTTCAAAGCAACCAGGAAATTTTTTTCAAATTGCCATGAAAATAACATCAAAGAAATATTCAAGTAGAAAAACACTTTTTAAAAACTGTATATATATTTTAGTATCAAAAGGTAGGAAGAAAGAAAAAAACCTCACCAAGTACTCTCAACATATTTGGATTTGCTACCCTTTGTATATATTTCTTTTCAATATTATCTCCAAGTAAACCTGATTATATGTAAGTCTAATCATTATATAGACGTATCTTTGTTTTTTTCCTCAATCCTCCCCTCAAAGCCACACAGGGTATAATAAGCTCTTTTCCAAACTGTTGCATAAACTTATAAAAACTTCTAAATTCCACTGAATTGATGGGCCTGTAATCTACCTACACCTCTCCTTACTATTAAAAATCACTGCTACTTTTCCACCATTGTGATAGAACAATAAACGTTTCTGTGTATAGTTCTTCCTCAGTAATGTATTTAAAAATCAAATAATATGAATATTTGTACGTATTCATAGAGTATTGGCATGCTGTCTAGCCTAGACAAAACTGCAAATATATATATACCAATTGCAATATATTTATATGTATAGATACACACGATTTTTCTGCAACCTTGCCTATATTACGGACATTTTTTTAAAATGTGTTTGTAAGTGATTTTTAAAATTTGCATTCCTATGATGACTTTCAAGGCTAAACACTTTTCAATGTCTTCAAACAAACATTTACTGAGAATCTATAATTTGCCAAACTCTGTGGTAGGTACCAGGGAAACAGGGACTAATCAGTTGCAGTCTGTCTCTCTCCACCAGGAAATTCCAGTCAGTTATACAGAGAAAGGCAAATACACTAATTAAGTTCTCTCAAACAGTATAGATGCTATGACAGCTACATAATCTACAGTCTTGAATAAAATGTGCTTTCCTATACTTTGTCCATTTATCTAGGTTATACAGATTTTCTAATAAATTTCAATAGTAGACATTAACATTTTGATAATAGCTTGCATAAAAATGTTCAGTTCTGCTATTTTGCAGGTTTTGTTGTTGTTGGTAGCAGTGATGGTGGTGGTATACCCATGTTTTATCAGATTTGTCATTTTCAGATGGTCAGATTTGTCATTTTCATCATATCAAATTTTAAAAGGTATCACTCCTGCAGAGTTTTAGTAAGCAGAAATTTTCTGCGTTTCAGATGCTGATAAAGTTAATCCTAAATTCTTACTTTGACCTTAGATACCATTTGTATTCATTTATACATGCTTAAGAGAGATTGTATTCTATTTTAAATTCCTAATTCCTCATATACATGAAATGACCATTGCTAACAGGTTCCACTTCCACTTCCCATCCATTCTTTTTAGAATGCCTGTTACTACGGTGCATGGAAACCCAGGCTTTCCTCCTCCCCCCGCCCCCCCCCCCACTTTAGACATTCCAGCCAATAAGTTCAAACCCAGTAATCTCAATGGGACATAAAGTCAACAGGGCAGAGAGGGAGAAAAGAAGAGTGATACCCTTTTCTGGCTCCCTCATCTAGGACCTGAAACACATTCTTCCATTGTAAAAACAGTTACTTATGTATTATTATCAGGTCTTATGATAATCTAGGCCCTATTGTTAACCTGAGTACATCTATAACATTGTTCGGCAAGAAAATATTGATCGAGTTTCAGACTACCAAGTTACAAACGAGGCTTTAAAATACAACTTCCGTCAACTGGAACCTGCATGTGTACTGGCATATACTCTTTCATGGGTAAATTTCAGTGTTGGCTTATGTCGTGAAAAGATCACTAACTTCAACTACTTCAGGTTGTAAGTAACTCAATGTTATATTAAAGAGTGGAAGATGTGATCCTAACATAAAATCAGCAGAGTCAACCACGAAGGAATAGAATCACCCAATATGCTGGTGGGGGTTTATCAAAACACACGCACATACACACACTATATATACGTATACATACATACACATTAGTTTAGTAACTGAGGCGCTTTTGTCATAGAAGACGGGAAATAGACCTGATTAGGCTATAGAAAGAAAACAGAATTATCAATTATGTGAGAAGAGGAAGCCTCAGGAAAATAATCTTCACTCGATCCCAACTGAAGCGCTAAAATGTTAAGTCAAATTGTTAGAATGTTAGAATATCTTTACTTGTCAACAAATAGCTAGTCTCACTTCAATTTACCTGCAAATGGTAGGATATGGAAATATATATATATATAATTTTTTATATAGGTCTAAGGTAGAGTCTGAGAATTTGCATTTCTAACAAGTTTTCAGGAAATGTTAATTCTGCTGGTCCTGACGACATTTTGAGAACCACTGCCCTATACAATCTCACCTTCTCTCATGCTTTTAACTACCACCCACCTTTTCAGTGAGGCCTACAGTGACCTTCCTATTTAATACTGCAATCTGTCTCCATCCTAGCATGCCTAACCTCTTTTACCCTATTTCCTTTAATTCCCATAATATTTGTAAAATTTTAACGTACCAAATATGTGTCAAGATATTTAATTGTCTGTTTCCCCCTACTAGAAAGTAAGGTTTGCCAGGAAAAAAAAAGATCTTGTTTTGTTAACCAATATTTAAAACTCCTAGACTTACACCCTACATATAGTAGTAAACAATAAATACTTGTTGGATGAAAGAATGATAATATTCATCATCACTAATTTATATCTAATTTTTGACCATTAATCCAAATGCCTATTAGGTGTTACCACCTGAATGTACTACTAACATCTCCAATTCAACATGTCCAAAACAGAACTCATTATCTTCCCTTAACACACTTGTTCTTACCCCTTTTCTTCTTGGCTTAATTGATGGCATCATGATCCATTCAGTTTCCTTTCACTATCACTCCATCACCTAGGTATGAGGTTCAATCTCTTTAGCATAGCTTCTTCATAGACAGGAAAATGTCTTTCCTCTCTGATCCACTCTTACCTCTCCATTGCTGTTTTCTGCTGCTGCTTCTGTCCACAACAATCACATTTTATAGTCCAGCAACACCTAATTTCTTGTATTTCTCTGAACACATCCTGTTTTTATTACGCTTTTCTACTTGCTAGTCGATATACTTGGAATTCTCTTGTTCACCTAGTGAATGTCTCATCAATAATTTTAAAATAAGCGTAGATCTAATACTGACAAAAAATCTCCCCACCAAAAGAAACATCTCTCCACAGTTAATTCTTTTACTGGTGTTACTGCTATATCTAGTGTATAATTCCATTACTGCATATGTCACACTGAACTGTGATTTGTTCATTATGTCTAGTTCTCTACCTACACAATTCTCAAAAATAACTATAGTTTATTACTCAGTTTGCCTTCAGTCTCAGCACATAACTGATACTCTTAATACTAACTGAATCACACAAAGAATTTTTAAAAAATCAAGCATACCTACAAAAAATAAAAAATTGATAAAAATTACTGTTTTTCTGAAAACTGTCAAATCTTGGACAATTTCTGTTAAAAGTTCCCCTCAAATCAATTTTAGTCTCAAATTTCTCAAGGGACTGAACTATACAGTGTTTTGTCCTGGCTACTCAAGTCCATTATCGTAAACCATATAAAGTACTCACCAAATGTGTACTAACACGTGTTTGCCACATGTCAACTTGCTTTGGTGTGAGATCAGGAATTGACAGGCCTAACCTGGAAGCCAAAGCTTCAACGTAGCCTGCAAGTCTTTAAAAAATACAAGAGGACAGAATATAAGCTTTTAAAGAGACATTGTCCTCACATAGGAAAAACTAATTTACTACAAAGATAAGATAATTTTACACCTGTAATTGGCACTCTGAAATGATGTAAACATTCTTTTACAATTTCCTTCTTTATTATGTATAAATACATGGTTTAAAATTTTTCATATTGACATATTTAATACATAGGTAAATTAACTGACTTAGAGCAATTAATCTCTACTACTACTTTAAAAAGAACAATTCAAGGTATAGAAAAAATTTTTACAATTACAATTTATGCATTTATTCCAAATTCAAAGCAAAGCCCTTTAACATATAAGTTAATAACTGTTATCATAAAACAAAAAATTTCCAAAATTTATCAGATATACTAAGAAAAACAGCTTACAATTTTCAGAGCAATTTCAAGTATTTGTCAATTCTAAGTTGCCATTGCTTATTAGATACAATCTTACATTACGAATTGTAAGAAAGAAAAAAAAGTTGCCAATTAAACTATGCATACCATCAACTATAAGATGGATCCTAATGTCAGATATATTAAGTTCTAAAAACCTGTACAATTAAGATTGGTGTAATGTGGTATTTGTTACTTAATGCTGTTTTTTTTAAGGCAGAGGAGAAACAGTTCTTAAATATAAGACTCCTGACAAAATCCTTCTCTCTAATAACAAATGTTTACTGATGCAATCTAAAACTAAATGGCCTTAAAGGTCTACTAGATCATTTGTTTCTATTAAAATATAAAAAGTTATCACAGTGGCTGTATAATATTATCCTTATCAACCTTATTGTTGGAAAGTGGGAAATGGAATGTTTAAAGGGTAGTATCACTGCAGATTTATGCCAGGAATTCCAGGAATATAACATTTCTGCCTCAGCTCAGAAGCATAGAAACTTTGTTTTTAACAGTAGCTTTGGCTCCAAACGCTAGTGCAAAAGTCTAATACACAAGGTTAGATAATGTAGAAGCTGCCTTTGCCTTGATTATAGGGCTAAGTAGACTTCTATTTGACTGAAATCCAAATCTCAAAAAACATTCTAATGAACCAAAAAAGGAAGAAACAGAACCAAAGACTGAGCAAAAGAGAGTATGTTTATCACAATAATTAATGCCAGCTTCCTCTAATTTGTACTTCCCAGGCTTCCTGAAGCTCAGGAAGAAGACCAGGCCATCTGTCGCTTGGAAGAGAGAATGTAAAAACAGAAAGACAGAAAGCTGGCCTTTTGCAAATAGGCATCCTCAGTTTGTTTCATCATTCCTGCCACACGGAATAAAAAGAGCAAAAACTAGCCAAGCCCATGTGTGCTTTGGCCATTATCCCCTTTCAACATTCCTCTCTCTAGAAAACATGCCCAGTCAGAATCCTCCCATTTGAGCCATATCTCTTATCTTTGGGCTTAGTGAGAGGAGGGTGAGGGTGAAAAAATGATAGGGGTTCTTACTTTTACCCCTGTCTCATCCTTGGAAAACATTTACAAAATACATATAAACACTTAAGTATATGAAAATTCAACTCTGCTTACATTATAGTTTTAGGAAAAATTTTGGATATATCAGAATTGCTTGAGAAGATTATTAAACAGAAAATGTCAGGGCCCCATCCCCAGAGACACTAAATCTGCATGACTAATTCTGCAGCCTAGGTATCTATATTTGATGCACACCAAAGATTTAGTGCTACTGATTTAGAAATATTAAATTTAAAAATCTAGTTCTAAAACACACACAAAAATAAATGTCCCTCTTTCTTATCCTCTTCAATTAAAGGAAAACGGAGAAGAGGAAGAGAGCAAGTACCTACGTGCACAAATGAACAAATGAATGAACCTACCCAAGACCTGCTAAATCTGACACAAGATTTCCCAAAGCAGCAGCTAAAAAAATGAAAAACAGACAAATGAATTGTTACGTAGAAATCAGAAAAATCATTATAATACATTATTATGTAATCAATAAAGCACTGGTCTGAAAGAGTTATCACATTTCTCAAACTACAACAAATATATCCAAAGTAACTCATTTGATAGCTCTGAATCTAAGATTTCAAAATAGAACAGCATTTTTCTGAGATTATAGTATTCGACCTCCAACAAGTAGTAGGTTTTTTCTGATGTAGCAGCCAGTTTCCATTTTAGCTTCAATATTAAAACACCTATACAGCATTTTGTAGTTGTAACTTTCAGATAATTTTTAAGGTAATTTGGATATTTGAAAGTTAAAAACTAAAGCTATATGTACAGCTCTGACTTTCAAGAAAATCAAAGAGAAGTACTGTCTTTTTCATTAACTCAACTACTTCACGTGTTCCATATAATAACACAACACATTCCCAAATTTCACCATCATGAAGAATAGAGTGGTAATTAGGGGGACAGAAGGAGACAGAACCAAATTAGATTTTCTATCTCGTATTTCCTTCCTTGATTTTCCTACCCAATTTGAAAACAAATAATTTAATAGAGAAAAGGGGTAGGAAGCTTTAGGGCAACACTGAATTAAAAGAAAAACTTTAACATAGTCAATATAGTAGATTATTGTTACCCATTAACTAGCATAAAGTACTTAAACTTTCTCAGAAAAATATGTGCTATATACACAAAACTAAAAGAGGAATAGGATTAAGGAGATAAATCAGTAGGCAATTCAATGAACAAACTCATCTAAAGAAAAGTATCCCCTCCTAAACCTAATCTACTAAAATTCTTCATAAATATACAATGGAATAATAAAGATTACTATTACTAAATACCTGCCATAGTTGAAATTCCCAAAATAATTCCAATAGACAACTCAATATGGGTTCCCTGAAAAATGATTACAAAGAAATTAATCTTAAAAATTAAAACTGGACTATAAAATAGCAAAATATTAATAAAACAGATAAAATTATCAATATACATCAAAATTATATAATAAAATATGCACAAATATACACATATATTGCAGCAACTCACTTAATTATTAAATATATGCATTCATGCAGAAATAATACATTTTATTCATTAAAATTAGGCTTTCATAAAAATTAAAAATAGCAACACATGTAGTAATACAATTCATCATCAGTAACCTAGAATTCATATTTTCCTATCACAGAAAAGCGCTTTAATGCTCTTTGAACACAAAGATGACCTAACTCTACAACTCTGAATGATACAACTATACTATTGATATTTACCCTATAAAAGATTCAAAAGACAGACTAAACCAGTGTCTAAGGATCCAAAGGATCACAGAGTTCAAAAATTATCCTTATATCACTTAGTTTTTTCATTATTAAGTAATGAGACTGTATGATTCATTTATAAGCAACAACAGCATTTAATACAATAGAGCTACAGCAAAAAATGAGGCGCCATTCTATTTTCACTGAATTTATTCATTCAGGGATTTTAAGACTTTCTATGCCCATCTCATTTCTCTAGAGAAAACGGGCTCATATTTTTACTTCTACTTTAAAGAAAAGGAACTGAAGTGAAGAAGATTAAACCATTTTAATGGGTTATTATGCAGACTAAGAAGAAATTCTAAAATCTTTTGTGCTAATTCAGTTCCAGTCCTTATGCAATGCTGCCATAAATGGCCTTAATTTTCAAAAGCTCTCTTGAATACTGATACTTGAAAATTTCTAAAAATTTTTTTAAATTTCAATGACATTTGTAGAGGAAAAAAAAGAATGGCCTATTTAGTATGTAGAAATATTGCATTATTCAATTATTTACAAAGCTGAAGAGAAGCTGGTTTCATTTCTTCAATTTTCTTGCCCTTAGGACTTTTGGTTCCACTCCTTTAAAATATAATTCTTGTAGAGTGTGGACCAAACAGCCTGATGTACAAAAGTCTCCCAGGCACTTAAAATTGTAAGGTTGTAAAGCTACCCAAAGAAACAGATTTCTCAAGAAGAAAAGAAAAGAAAAGGCACAAAGAAGTATCTTTATATAAGGATGCAAAATGACCTGGAGCATCAATATAGAAGAGAGGCATCTGACAGCTACAGTGTATAAAAAATAAATACAGCATCTTTAACAGCAATGAATCATTAGAAATGACCCAAGAAGAATGTTTGCCAATACATGCGTTTAAAAAGCATTTTTTAAAAAAAAGCATTTAAGTGCTTAATGATTTGGTTGAATTAAAAAAACTGAAAGTCCTTCTAATAGTATGAAAAGCCTCATATAAAGTCTAAGTCAGTTTGAAGGCAATGGACTATCCACTCCTTTCCCTTTTTGCATAGTTACATCAAATTTTATGTTAACAGGTAAGGCAGAAATTAGAACTAAATCTAATACTAGTTGTGTTAAAATTATACTAGATTTATCACATCAATACAACTAATCTATGCTAGAATTCTAATAAATTCTATCCTAATTAAACTGTAAGAGAAATAATACCCCCAAGCCCCACTAAAATATGTTATAAAAAGCAATCCCAATAATATAAAAATACAATTTAAAAAACTATGAAATCAAAAGGTTGGTATGAACAGCAGCCAACAATAAAGGTCAAATCTACTACCAGACGTTATACAGGATTTGCTTTTCTGACTACAATTAGGGTAGCAGCCAAGAGAGTATACCTAACAGGAAAAACATCAAATGGTATGACAGGAAAGAAGAATCAAATAATATCTTGACTTAATATCTTCCAACAGTCACAGCCATCCTATAATGTTAGAAGGCAATCAGCATTAAAAAAAAAAAGGTGAAAAACATTCTTAAGATAATAATGTTCTTATTTCTCTTTTCATAGATTCTATAGTTATATAATTTATGAATTTTAGTCTCAGCAGTCTATTAAAAAGCCTGCTTGGAAAATTTCACTGTTCCTGAATTATTCTGCAAATTTTTCACAGGATAATGTCTTTACCACACCTATTAATCAGGTTTAAAACCAGTGGTTTAAATATTTAATTCAGTACTATATGAATTAAAAAAAACTAGTGATAAGTCTCAGAAACTTTTCAATATAAACTAGAAAAACAAATATTACTGAATTAGAGTGAACCACCTCAGGGCCTGGAAAAGTAGTCCACTATCAGTGATACTAATGAGACACAGGCCTGAGTAACACAAAACAGGAACGATATTACAATAATTTGACTCTAGAAAGTTGGTGTTCTGTTTGTTTTGTTAGTAGCTGTATTAAAATACAGATATCTGTTACTTTAGATATTTATTTCAAAGAAATAGTAAGACCATACTGTGAAGGTTTTATCGTTTTATCCAGGATCTAAGAAGCTACACAGTTTCCCTATTCTGATATCTCTTCAAAATCTCTGTGCACCCCTCTTTATGTAAAATATATCATCACAATACTTCTCTGTAGCAAGGATAGTCTTTCATCATTTGACTATCTGAGATCTGCCCAAGTGAGATGAAAAAAGTGAAGATTATTAAGATGGTAGAATGAGGGGTACTAGCTGTCAATAAAGAGAATCTAAAATACTGAGTGTAAACTTGAAAGAAATACTTGGCACAGAGAAGCTTTAACTCAATCGATTCAAGAACATACCAAGTCTTAAACTACAGATTATAAATTCATCACAATGGAGTTTTCATTACAATTAGATTTTATTTACATTAACTATTTAAGTAATCTAACCATCTCAAGATTTCAGTAATTTCAGAAAAGGTAGTGTGGTATGGTTGAATAAGTTTTTGTATTCACAGATACATAAATTAGCCAACTTGATTCTTATATATATATATTAGGAAAATATCATAATCAGTCAAAAAAACCAGCATTTTGCAATTATATTTTAGAGGCGCTTACCAGACTACTCTGCTAAAGAATTATCCACCCAATGGGTGCTTATCACCTTCAAATTATGTGCATGCTACAGTATCTTCTGTGACCATTTATAAAGTAAGATACCTTCCTGCTGTGTGAACCCTGTTTCCTTAACCAGGTGAATGGCTAGACTTTCTGGATATCTGATCCCCATCAACCTGGACATAAGGTGAGACAATATAGTAAAGAAAACCATTCTTGAGTGAACCAATTTTAGATATTCTTTAAGCAAATTTTATAATCTATACAATGTAAATTATACTTTTATCCCTATTTTGAAACCAAATATTCTATTTAAATCCATCTGTAGTACACATGACCTCCAAAACACCAAAACAAAAAACAAAAACAACAACAACAGAAAAACCCTGGCATCTCCCAAATATACTCTCTTCACTTTCAATAATCCTAAAATCATTCCCTTTTTTTTGAGCAGTCTCCCACCCAATACATAGAATTTACAGAATTTTTTTTTAAAGTTAGAGTCAGTGAAGAGAAGTAGACAGAGCACTGGGAAGTTACAGAAGACCTGCATTTTAATCATGGACTTTTACCCGACTTTTTAACCTGGACCCATATTGGTATCTATTGAGAAAAGGAGTCACAGAACAGTTAGAAAGGTAAAGCAGCCATCCTGAGATGAAACAATACTTTTAAGAAATTTCTTTAAATTAAAATGACTTCAGCAAAAGAGAACTTTTTAACACTAAAATGGAACAAAGACTGAAGGGTTTATTATTCCCAGTATTCTGAATACCTTCAGGTTAAATGGATAGACTATGTATCAAAACACCCTTTTAAACATTTTGTATGGGAAAACTGGACAAGGAACTAATTAAATAATATACATGTGATGAGAACCGCCGATACAATTTTAAGAACATCAGAAAATTTTACATACTTCTTTCTTTAATAAAAGTGTTGAAACAGAACAGGATAATATAGACCCAATAAATAATGTGTTTATTATTGTCAATGCTTTACCAAAAGTCATAATGATTAATAGATACGATGCCTTAGAAGTGATGTTAATGAAAACTTTATAGCTAAAATATGTAAACTATTAGGAAAATTTAGACCACATTAATTTCTTTATTAACTCAAAATAGAAGGGTTGAAAGAACTTACTGCAACAATCATAATTGCATTATCCAAAAAGCCAAACCCTATGAAAGGTATCGCATTGTGGATGAATACTGAAAAACATCAAAAACAGAAAAATATATTTTAAGATTTCTATAATTTTAAAATGACAAAAAACAGACCATATGATTAAAGTCTCATAAATAGATTTGATTAAGTTTTGAAATTTCCTTTTCATTCTCCACAGCCAAAAGATTCTGCTTCTGCTATGTTTAGATACTTGGTAGAAGCTATACAGGGGGAAAAACAAAATAAAAGACACGTAACACATAAAATTAACTGTGTTAGGCTTTTGTGTTTTCTTACTGGCAATACCCACACACACACACACACACACACACACACACACACACACACACACACATTACATACAGTTAATGGCAGAACAAATAAATACATATCATGAGTACCATGCTTTACGTGTAAATTACTACTGACATCAATTTCTTTCCTTCTTAGACCTAAAGACTGTTATCATAAAATTGATCTCCATATTAGAAATAATAGAAGATGTCCTGAATCAATTTCAGGGAAGTTATCTGGTCACTTTTTCTCACTAAACAATTTTTTAAACAAATGTTAGAAAAATGTGACTATCTCATCCATATTAGACATCTGTGTTCAAAGTCTTCTTTCCCCTTCAACATACCAGTATCCCTGAATGCTTTCACAAACTAAAACAAACAATATCTGATTTAAATAAAAATGTAACTTGTCTTGTTCCTACCAAAGGCACACCTTATCTCATCTATCTAGTACATAATCTGAATGATCTGAGAAAACAGAAGTGTAACTAGGGAGAACAAATATCTAATATTTATATATTTTATATATTTAGCCTCATTTTTTTTCATATTTGTACCTTCAGCAATTGCAGAGTGCCTAGTGCATTGATGCTTAATAAACATTAGTTAATTAAGTTGAGGACCACTAACCTGGAAAGGAAGAGAATTCCAAATTAAGAGAATTGAAGGAAGACTGTGAAACAGACTGAAATCTGGGGAGAGTTAAGACTTTATTCTAATTAATCTATAAATCTGCCAAGGTATAGTCAACATCTGTTCAACTGAGGACTTTTTTTACATAAACATCAAAGCTCTCAGTTTTACATCACATCCAAAAAATAATCCTTTAAATCAGTTACTTACATATGTATTCAGTGACTTTAAAATCTTTTTTCTTTTAATGCAGTTAAGTCTCCAGAAAGTATAATTAAAATACAATCAAGAAGTTACAAAAATTTGATATTACTATAGTGAGTTATGCACCTATCAGGGAAGGTTAATAAGCAGTAAAACAAAGAACATTTCTACATACAACCACTACCAAACACTAAGATCAAGAGAAAATAGTATATATCCTACGTCATTTCAGATTTCTTCTTTTTATCACATAAGAATGTCCCAGGTAAAAGGCAGCATCTTTTTAATTATAAAGTATATTATTTTAAATGCTATGAAAGATGATAAAAGTCAAATGGCACATTAATGAAATGGAACTTTGAGGGGGGTTAAATTAAGGAGTCTAGTCCTAATTATTGACTTTTTGCCTAGATTTAGCTGCTCAATGATCAGACATTCAAAATATTGTAATAATCAACTTCTAAAACACATACACAACTTCAAGAATATAATACAAATTTGATAAGTCAAAAGAGTATAATGAAAACTTAAAAATTCAGTGAATGAAACATTTACAGTGAAGAGAGAGCTACTTAAATATATATCTGGAAAGAAGACTCCCCAGTAATCTTCTCAATTGTCTTTGAAATGAAAATATGGAAAAGTAACTATGAAACCTTTGGGATTATTTAACATTTGGGGGTTAATCTGATGGCATCTCTGAAAGTGGCTAGTTATAAATATCTTAAAATTAGGCCTTAAGTTTATTAAACTAAGTAAGACAGACTAATTGCTATCTTAGTAAAAAGTTGGTTAAGTAAAACGAAGGCACGTTGTTATACTAATTACCTTGAACTATAAAATATATATCATGTTTTGATGTTTAGACCTAAATAAATGTATCCTATAAATAAAACTTTATTTTTAACCCAAAGGAAAAACATAATTTTCAAAAAGTTAAATAAACATGTACTGAGCACTCCACTGGGAATCTGAGACACAAAGATACTTGGTTACCAAGTCCTCAAGAAGTTTGGGTATGATAACATAGCCATATAAACAGTTAATTCCAATAAGACCCCTCACAATGATAACAGCACTATATAGTGCTATGGAAATAAATGAATCTAGGTGAAGGATCAGGAAAGATTACCTGGGAAAAAAAAGTCTTAAAGAATTCTTAAATTGTCTTGGGATCTGGAAAAAGTTACTTATTTCTAACAAACTATATCGTACCTCTGAGAGAAAAAAAAGATTAAAAAGAACTGGCTATTAAATTTTAATTATATAAGTTTGCTCTCCAGTAAGTAATGATATCCTACCAATTTGTGATTTCTTCAGTTTCCTTTGGGAAATAATTATTCTATAATTCAGTAGTTGTAAGCAAATCACATCTAATATTTAACTTTAACTTACAACCTTTTCAAATTCACTGCACTGTTAAGTAATTCTCTTCTTCCATTGTCTCTATAATAAGACCCCAAACTGTTTTACATGCCTTTGGTGTTAGCCCTTGTATATGTATTCCAATCATAACAGAGTAAAGAAAGCACACCCGCAGCATTGTAAGGTTCTTCTTCCTGGTGGCTTAAAATTAACTTTATTTACTTTCTTCATTATTACAAACAGCAAGTCAGTGCATTTTCTTCACCAGAGGAAACAGCCTAGAAATTATAGTTCTGAAATTACCCAACTGAAATCCAAACTAAAGTAAACATACCCTTATTCCCGGGAATTAAGAAAATCTCTACTATAAGTATAATTCTATTTCTATATGGTAACAATATTTAAACAATAATAGATATATGGTTAACAATCTCAGAAATTCCATAATATTGTAATATGTCTTAAGCCAAGTATATAACTTTTTGCTTAGGCATAACAAATAGGATAATCCACTCCATCTGAACAATTTAATTTACTGGCTCTTCTGTACTAATAATGAATGACACAGTTATTTCAAGTCCAAAAGATAGATGTACAAATATTTAACAATTATAGAACAATTACCATATCTCAGCTGTCCTGGGGTAGGTGGTGCAGCTTCCAATTTTTCTAAAGGGGGAAAAAAAGGGTGTTGGGCAAAAATTAGTCAATACAGCATGTTTTCTTTTTTATTACAATGAAGAAAATACCAGCAGATTTACAAAGTGAGAGAATATCTGAGTGTATTTATAAATTATCTTTAGGTTAATGGACCGAAGTTATCCAAACAGAAAATATTACTTGGTATGGATTAAACTGGCTAAAAAACAAGACAGCTTCAGCAGTTACAGGCCTCCCATGGACCCTACAGCCCTAGGTAAATAATTTGCTTTTTGGTTTTTTGTTTTTCAAGTCCTTGCATCTATATAATAAGACTGTTTGCATTAATTACAGTAAAAAACAAACAAAAAAACCTTCAGAAATGTAGCTACCCTTCTCTAATATGGCAACCCTAGATGACTTAAGAAATATATACCAAACAGAATGTGAAAATGAATGTATGTATATTCATGTATGACTGAAAAATTGTGCTCTACACCAGAAATTGATACAACATTGTAAACTGACTATAACTCAATAAAAAAGAGAAATATATACCAAAAAAAACTGATAGCAGAAAAAAAGGATATTCAAACAGACCTCGATGTCCTTTAAAAATAGGAAAATAATATTTTTAAAGCAATGTATTACAACAATGACTTCAACAGGTTGTGTTCTGTTCCTTAAGTAATATCCTTTGATAATATACTAAATGTTCTGAGTTTTGAAACCTATAGTACTGGATTATATAGAATATTCTACACAGTAAAATGCCCCCCAAAAAGTAGCATTAATTCAACAAATGGCAATATATTATTTATAATATATGTAATAATAAACACACAGTTTTCCCAGATATATATATCAAAGTAAGTATCTTCAAGTGCCATCATTAAATCTAAAAATTAACAATTATTACAAAGAAGCAACCTACCTAAATCTCATAACAATAACCATCTCACCCATTTGTACAAGTAAAAGAATAAGCTATGGTAAAATAGCAGAGAACTCTACCTTCTTTTTCCTCATCAATCCAACAGAATTAATTGATAACCTATAGAGATGACCCCAAACCATGGATTAGTCTGATCTAAAAATTCAGTACAACAAAATTGTCCAAGGAAATACATTACAAACTGGATATACATTTTGTAAAATATTTATTTGTAATGTATGACAGCATTAAAAACTGAAGAATTTCGTTTAAAAAAAGTGAGAAGCAAATTAATCTCCATTAATAAGCTATATAAAAAGGAGTATGATTCATATTTATAAATGGTATTTTACTAAAATAGTAGCATAATGGCTTTACAATAAGAATATACTAACACCTAGAGTTTAGTCAATTATCGTATTACTCAGAAAGTTCTAAGAATGCAGGTTTAAGTTTTGTTTTTTTCCTTTTTTAGAAGAGTTAAGAAATGAAGATATTCTAAAACTTTGTAGAATCGTATATCTGCTTAGAATATATTCTCCATTCTTTGACTACCACTATTACCTCAAAATCTACTTTGAAGGCATGCAAATGGTTTTCCAAATTTTTAACAAAAAATATGGTACCACTGTACTCCACAGAGTTTTCCAGTGAAGTAAACATGCAAAAGTGGTTACATACCAGAACTATTTGCTAGTTGCATTACTCTCATCATCACTACAGTTCTGACACTGTGAGGAGAAGTCCTTGTCAGTTGACTGGAACATCTTGAAATACCTAAAAATTCAACAAGCAGGACCTTCCCAATATAATGAGAATATACAGAGTCCTTGCTTTTACTTCTTCAAATCCCCTACATATTGAGCAAAATATTTAAAATATTTTACAACTCCTAAGACAAAAGGATAACGGCTAGGCAAATGTATAATGTGTAGCAGTAAAGAGGAAAAAATCAAATAATGTAGTCAAATTCCTAATCTTTCTTTCCAACTATGCATAAGGACTAAAAAATTAAAGGTAATGAAAAAAATAACTTTTTTAAAGAGAGAGAAAAGAAAGAAATATAAAGTAAAGGAGATAGAGCAAGGAGGAAAACCACTGGCATAGAGATTAAAGTAAAATCAAAGCATAGATTCTGCCTCCTGCTTCATAAAGAAATTAAGGAGTAATAAGAGGAAACATGAAAGTAACATTTCCTAGAAAGTGGAAATTTTATTGGAAAGTATCCATCAAAAATTGTGAATCATAAACTGATCATTTTGAGGACTCTGACATTATAAATTATCTTCTTTCCTATATTAACTGAATGAAAACAAAATATGTATCAGAAGTAAAATAAACATGAGATGTATAATACACAACAGTACTCAACCTTGGAAATAAATCCAAGGTTTCAGTAATCCATTCAAGTTTTTAAATGTTATGGTGCTAATATAACCTAATTACCCCCCACAACACACACACAAAGTATAAGTAAAAGATAAAAAGACGCCTTTTTAAAAAAATTTTTTTAAATTTAAATTATTTTAAATAATAATAAATTTAAAAATTTTAATTAACTGGATAGGCTTAAAAACAAAATGGAGGTGACAGAAGAAACAGCTAATGAACATGATGATAAATTGGCAAAATTACCCAATCTGAAAACAGAATAAAAGGATTGAAAACTAATAAACCAAATCTCAAGGACCAGTGGCTAAATATCAAAAGGTTAATATATGTATAACTGAAGTTCCAGAAGGTGAGGAGAAAGAGAAGAGCCAAAAATTTTTGAATAAATAATGGCTAAAGCTTTTCCAAACTTGGAGAAAGACAAAAATTTCAAAAGATTCAAGAAATTCAGTGAATCCCTAGTAGGATAAAAATGAAGAAAGGCAACAATAAAGAAAAAAACAGTGAAAAGCAGTCAGGAAAAAATGACACACTAAGGAAAGGAAAACAGTAATTTGAATATTCTGAAAACTACATCCAACTATACAATTACTTTCACTGTTAATGGACTGAACAATCCAATTAAAAGTCAGAGATTGTCAAAAAATGGATAAAAAAGCAAGACTTGCTGTATGATAGCTGCAAGAATTACATTTAATAGGTTGAAAGTAAAATGAATAGTAAGAGATAAACTACATAAACAGTAAGCTTATAAATGCTGGAGTGACTATATTAACCACAGATAAAGACAAAGTATTACCAGAATCAGGGACATTTCAAAATGATTAAAGAGTTCATCAAAAGGCATGATAACAATCTGTTTATGCCTACTAACTTCAAAATACATGATGCAAAATCTGACAGAATTAAAGGGAAAAGAAGCACTTCCACAATCACAATTGGAGACATAAAAGTCTCTCAGCAACTGACAGAAAACTGGGGGAAAGTATCGGTAAGAAATCAGATTACCCAAATAACATTACCAACCATCTTGATCCAACTGATATTCAGACATCTATAGCCAACAGCTACAGACAGAATGTATATTCTTTTCAAGTGCAGATGGTACATTCATCCAGATAAACCATTTGCTGATCCATAAAACATGTGTTAATAAATTAATGATTTAAATTGTAAAGAATATGTTCTCTGAGCAATAACAATAAGATACCTAGGAAAAAATCTGGAAAATAAATAACATCTTCTAAATACATGGGTCAAAGAAGAAATGAAAAAGGAAATCAGAAAATAAGTTTTAAACTGAATAACAATGAAAATACAACATGTCAAAATTTGTGGGATACAGATAAATGAACACTTGGAGGGAAACTTCTAGTTTTAAGTACTTATACTAAAAAGAAAGGTCTAAAATAAATGACCTATGGTCTTAAGAAGCTCAGAAAAAAAAGAGTAAGGTAAGTAAAGTAGTAGAAAGAAGAAAATAATAACAAGTAAAGCTGAAATCAATGAAATAAAAAAAAACAATTTAGGATATAGAAAAAGCCAAAAGTTGGTTCTTTGAAAAATCAACAAAATTAATAAACCCTTAGGTATACTGCTCAAGAAAGAGAGAGAAAACACAAATTACTAATATTAGAAATGAAACAGGGAACATCAGTACAGATGCTACAGACACTGTAAGAGACTATTATGAATAATTCTATGCCAACAAATTCCACAACTTAGATGAAATGGACAAATTCCTTGAAAAATATAACTTACCAAAACTGATATATGAAAAAAAATCTGAATAGCTCTATCTAATAGCAAAATCAAATTTGTTACCAGGCAACTTTCCGTAACATTGACATTAAAAAGCCCTCCAGGCCCAGACAGTTTCACTGTGAGTTATACCAAATATTTAAAGAACAAACAGCAATCTTAGAGAAATTTACAAGCTCTTTCAGAAAAAAAAAAAAGAGGAAATATTTCCCAATTCATTTTATGAGGCCAGAATAGTACTAAAAATAAAAATAAAACCTAACTAAGAACTTATAAAAAAGATAAAACTACAGACCAATGTTCCTCATGAACACAGACAGAGAAATACTTAATTTAATGATAACTGTTTTGCTTTCCCAAAGTGGCAATAGACAAACATAATAGTGGCCAAAAAACAACTAACATCCAGACTTCTTACATTTTTCCCCTTCTCAGATATTTCTCATTGTTTTAAGGAGAAGTTGCTTTTAATAGGGTTCCATGTTTAGAAATACATAGGTTAGGAAAATTATCTGCAAGTATTTGTGAGATAATATTTACATATAGACCTTTTTTCCTTTTGATTTCACATTTAAAAGTCTTAGCTGGAGGGAGAATAAATAAGACCAGATAGTTGTTGCAAACTGCTAATTTATACTGTATCAAATCAAATGAAAATTATTTGAAATGAAACTATCTCTTCTTCTGATCTGTCCTTGAGAACTTAAACATATTCAATTATAGTAATGAAGAGACAAATCTTCTCCAAATAAAAAAAATCCTAGAAATTCATTACAAATCCTAAAAACATAAGAAAACACTTTGCATGTTTAAATAAAAATTTTTTTAACACTTTCAACATTTTTTTCTTCTTGCTTCAGTAACTCAGGAAGATTAAAGAAAACAATTGAAAACATTTAACTTCACTTTTATTAAATGAAACTCTAATTTTTTAGAATGTACG